ATTTTTCAGGGCCGGTTGCTACGTCCATCTTTTATACAGTCTATGGGAAACACCTGGGTTGGTAGCGTTTGCATTGCGATACTGTAAGGCATTCTACCGAAATGTGTTCACCGAACAACACATCCTTGGCTTGACTGCATTCAGGTATTTGTAAGAAAGAACAGCAGCAGGTCAAAGTGACTAGTTTCAAATTAATTAAACCTTCATTTATCTTGACCCTTCTGAGAATTTCACGACTTTGTTTCAGAGCCTTTCAGTTCACTTCAAGCATATCTGTGTCACCCTTGGTTGTGCCATGTGTTTACTCTCGACCTTGAATTTATTGACTTGTCCGATTTCAGTGTTCCTGCTTTGACTGTAAAATGGCTCTTGATAAGACTGACTGTAAGACACTAAAACACACATTTCCTGTAGACTCATATTAGAGTAAAGAAAGTAGTCAGTGCTGCGAGATAAAAAACAAAAAACAAAACATTTTTACTAGTCACTGCTAGTCTGTTTTTACTGATTTATTGTTCTACACCACTAACCTAATATATGGTACCTAGTTTACATGAAGACCATGTTGTGGAGGCGTCTGTGCAAAGCATTATAATGCTGCCAGTAAAGGGTTGTCCCAAAAGAACAAAACAGCAAAAGCACTGGTCTGCTGTTGTATTAACAATCATCTGTAATAAGAACAGTTTAATTCTAAATTTCATTTGTAACCATATTCTTCTTTATACTTGGAATTAAAATGTACACATTCCTATCATTATAGTGAGTTCTGAAATAAGTGGTCAATGCACCAATGAGTCAACTGGCACAATAATTTATTTGATTTCAGATTTCATATTGTCAAGTCAATTTTCTTTTAAATACACCAAAAGCACAAGTTTGCCAAAAAGAGCTCTGTCCTTAAACCCTCGACTTGGATGAAGAAAAAATCCCCAAAAACCCTTTAAGAGATTTTAAAAAATCCTACAGAGAAGGGATTTCCTGAAATCTTGGTGGACTCCAGTCATACCTTCAGCCTATTGATTGGTCATTTAAAAAAAAAAAAACACACAAAAAAACTGTGTTATCTGTAGATAAACTAAAAAAGCCATAGTTCTCCGAAAGCACTCTGCCTGCCAAACCTATTAGCCTAAATGAATTATATGTAAACATGAAAAGCTAGTAATTCAGATAATCAGATAAAACAGCATTACCTTTTAAAAAGTATTAAAACGAGCTCCACACACAAAATTGTCACACTGGACCAAGTTGGATATTAGACCAAAAAATGTCAGTACCAACTTACAGGGCCAGTTTAAAGCTGTAAAAACATGTGATTGTTCATAGATAGTCTATTCTTCCCACTGTCTAAAATACATATTAAAAATAAAATTTGTGGATTCGTTCTGGAAGGCTGTTGATGAAGCACTTTGAAATGACATGTAATAGATGTTGTGTACACAGAGAGATTGCACAATATAAACATATGAAGAACATAATCTGGGACCTCATGGTGTCACCAAACAATGCATCATAGATATTATAATTTACACCTTTAATAATAATCTGATAATCACCTTGTCTATGAAGCATTAGACAACCCTGAAAAATAGGAAAAAGCAGTAGATTATTATAGTTAGTAACTGAAATAATTTAATATTCTGCATTTAGCAACATAATATTTTGGTATTCAATTAATCAACTAATCATTGTAGCTGTGTTGTCATTTATACAAGTTCAAGTGCCAAACATTTGCAATCTATATCTTCACGAATGTGAAATGAAATCATACATTTTGTTTTTATTATTGGTCTTTATTAAATTTGTTCCTGACTGGTAGGTATTTGTCATCACTGTTTGTTATAGTCTATTTTTCTCAGAAGACTATGACATGTGACACTAGGAAGAGCACAGGTGTGAATAATGAAGTTATTGTTTACATGCCTAATTGTATGTTTGTGATACAGTGGTGTAATCTTTTGAAATTTGTTGTGTATCTCCCAGCAGATTCATTAGAATGTGACCTTTTGAATTATTGGCTCATCTTTGTTGTTTACATCATTAGATTCTAAATATAAAGCAAATTACTAAGCAGAATAACCCACTAAATGTTAAATGGTTTGATGTGAGCTGTCAAATAGGAAACAGTTGAAGTAAATACATTTAAACAATTCTGAGAAGAAGCCTGGAGTTGAGTGCATTATGGAGAGAAATATCTAACTCTGAAATCTGTTTCAGTACAGTATACATTGGCTCTGTGTAGTTCTGAAAGTTAAAAACAGTGTAGACCTTTAACATGTCGTGGCTTTTAATGTGCACATGCGTTTTCTTGCAGAGAAGCATGACTTGTCTTTCCTGGAAACGTCAGCATTAGACTCATCCAATGTGGAGCTGGCTTTCCAGATGATCCTCACAGGTAACTTTCACATTTGTGTTTGTTTCTTTCAAAGTCTTAGCAACACATAAAATGAAAGTGAGTTTGATCAATAGGAAAGTGATGTCTAAAGCTTCGAGGCCATTTAACAGTGATTCTTTATACCAGTACGTGTATTGATTTGTCTAAATGTGTTGTCATTTTCATCCAGACTTTCATGGTTTTCATAACACCTTTCCTCTGCCACTAGATGGCGGCAAAGTCCATCTAATCAGCTCTCAGCATTGGTACCTGATGTGTAGTTTGTTGTAGAACACCAGCTGAATCTTTTTTACGGTCAAAAACACGAGTTATCGTCACCCTGAAAGACCAGGCAGTTAGTCAGTCCTGGGAGCTGCTATGAAGATCACAGAAAACTATGAACAACTTTTTGCCAACTGCACCTGCTTGTTGGTGAAAGATACGATGACACTGGTTTACAAATATGTTTTCCTAAGTTAATATCTACGAGCAGTGTCCCCAGGAGGCATGAGGCCACACTAACAAGTGCGTTTTATGGTGGAGATTGGATAACATGGAGAAAAAAAGCAATTGTTGTGGCTCAACCCCTGAAGTGCCTAAAGGGACAATCGAACAGTGAGCGGTGCTTCCACTTGACTTGCCCTAAGGGCTATCAGTCTCCAAGTGTGTGCCACTTGCAGTTTGTATTCTGCCTCTGCATCACATTGAATTCCCAGACGCATCTGCTTGAGCCGTTTGAGCCACTCTGCCCATGCCACAGATCTATCAGTAATTTGGAATTCCTAAAACTTTCAAACCAGCTAGACCCATTGAGTTCACGTTGCTAATTTACTAATTAGGAGAAGGAAGGAGAAGAGCTAGCAGTGCTTTAGCAGCCAGTCAGAACTGAACTTTAGACGCAGCGGAGCAGAGCAGCCATCGCTTGTGCAGCAGAAGACAGATCGTAGGTCAGATGGGGTCATCCTGGTGGGTTATCGTCTATATATGCACAGCAGCTGGGACTGAGTCGGGTTTGTAATGAGTCATAGTTTGACCACCTGACGTGTCGCGTCCCAGTCAGAGCCAGTAGTCTTGTTTTGCTTTAAAGGTTCTTGCTTCATAGGCAGTTTTTATTTCAGGACTGTTTTGTTCCACATCTGGCTGTAGTTTAGAGTTAAAGCGGTATGCAACAGTAAGTCGGAGAGGTGTTTGCACAAGTCCTCCTCTCCTGCTCCAGTGGCATCTGAGCTAAGGTTTAGGTGAGTGGCCTTTAGAAATATTTAGAAAAAGGAAATGGATGAAGTTAAAAAGCAACAAGTTCACCTGGGGGTCTGAACTGCTGCAGGATTATAGTCAAAATAATAATCACAACTATTTTAATCAACATTAAGGAATGATTATTCTTTGAGTTTAAGGACAACATTTTTTTACTGCACTGTCACATTTATATTGTGCTACATTCCTGCTAACTTACAAATCTTTGCATTAAAACAAAACCTAAAATAATCTTCACCTGAATTTAGAGCATCTTCTAGAGGCAAAATATAAATAAAATTGCAACTAAAATGCCTCACTTGTTGAATATTTGCTTTGTTGGACACAACAATTTACTGTTGTTTCCTAAATGCCTCACATGCAGGCTACGCTAGCTACCCAGGTGGCAGCTCAGGTGTGAGACCAAAAATGACTTCAAAAGGAGTGAAAGACGGTGTTTTTAAATGAGAGATTTTCCCAAGTTAAAACCAATCCAGTTTATGCACGTGTTGTTTTCTATGAGCACACCATTTTAAATGTCAAATAATTGAGCCTCCCCAACTAGATTACAACATGCAGGGTCACAGAGGCCAAAAAGCCTGGTGATGTATGATTTTAATTTAGTCATTGTGATGTTAATGTAAAATGCATTGCATGTTGTAGCTTTGGGAATGCCTAAACTGAGCCTTGATTCCTCCACATGACACAACGATGGCAGTTTAGGATGGAAAGAATCCTCCACTGCTGCCAGGAGTCTGGATAGAACAGTTGTTGTTCAGTTTTGCCATTCTGTTTGTCCTTATCACAATATGTCCCACTGTTGGTTGGATTTATAGGCATCTACACATAACTTTATACTCTTTCACCCTCCTCTCCATCACAGCCATCTACAACATCGTGTCACAGAGGCAGATGTCAGGACGGAGCGACTCTGACTTTTCACCAGCCTCCAATGTCGTGCCCATCACGGTTGAACCAACTCAAAGCTCCTCCAACAAGGGTGTCTGCTGCCAGAGCAACTGAGACTTTACCACGGGGCCGCCTCCTTCACCGCCAGGCAAATGGAGAGGGCCAGATAGACAAAGACAGACAGATGGACAGGGAAAATGGAGAGACAGGTGGACAGGCCAGAATTGATTCACAGTCCTAATGAAAATTAAATACATTATAAGGTCCCTTTTGTATCTCATCACAATTTCTGTCTTTGCAAACTGTCCTGCCTTTGAAAGCTCTATTTTACAAGGTAGTAAATGCTTCCTTTCAGTTTCCCACTCTTGGGATATTGGGCAGTAAAAATCCACTTTCAAAAGACTGAACTGGAACCCCTCTGTAACCACTGTCCTTCCCACTTTCCCTAAATGTAGAGTATTTAGAAAAATAATGTCCCTTACAATATTTATTGAACACTAGATTAATGCCTTGTTTGGCCAAAGGGTGAGATTTTCCACTGATTTCTTCACAGCAAAGGGAGCGCTCTTGTTTTCTGATGCTTTTGTCTACAATCGTTTCTCTCTCTGAAGAAGCTTGTAAGGGTAACTGTCCCTCGCTAATGGAGGGGCAAGGGCCTCAGGTCATTTTTCCTAAATGCACATGCTTGAATTTGGTCGAAGTCGGTTGGTTCAAGTTGTGTTCCAGCAGGCCTCTCAGAGCAATAACATCCCTCCCTCACTGTGACATGCAATTTCTTTTTGATTGCTTTTGATCTTTGTTTGGAAGGCTTTCCTGCTCTGTGCACACTTTGTACTCCACAGATGAGTCATGCTCCTACAAGCTTTGCACAGCGTTAACTCTAAATGAGATGGGATAGCTGCATTGCTGGTGGATGGGTTAACTGCTGACGCCCGCCCCAGCCCTGCCCTGAACATTCGGGTGCAGTGGCAGGCAGTTGGTTTGAATGCATGGACAGCCCTGTGCTGCTGCTGCCGCTGCCGCTGCCACCTGCTAGCTGGGATGGATGGATGGATAATGTTTCAGGGGATGAGGTAGTGAGGGCACTCAGCCCTGCCCTGCTCCTGTGGTCTCTGATCTACCCGAGATGGCTTGTTTTACTGTAAATGAAATCCTCCACTGCCTGCTCACCTACTCCTTTCTGTCTCTGTGCGCTATATCTAACTGGAACAGGACTCTGCCTTCTGGGATCTCCCTGAGGTCTGCCCTCGCTTTCATTTGTCTTTATTTCTTGTGGAGGGGCCGGGGGTTGTATTCAGGAGCCAGGATTGGGTTTGTTAGTATCTAATAGTTTAATAGATGAGGGAAGGGAGAAAGGATCGTAGTGTTAGGCGGGGCTTGATTAAATCCAAAGGTTATGGACACAGATGGTGTTTATCCTGCTGATGTGTTTCCACATCAACACAGACTTCTGTTGACTTCACAGCTCTTAAACTGGGTGGTGTTGGTTAGGGCTTTTTAAACATTTATTCTAATATATGTATATTTGGACTGCATATATATATATATACATATATATATATAAATAAATCTCATTTGTTATAGCCTGTCTTTTCTTGATGTGTTAAACCAATAACGGGTGCAAGGAGC